AGCCAAAAACCAGGGAATGTCCAGAGCCACCAGAAGCTGAAAAGGCAAGAAAGGGTTCTTCCCTAGAGCTTCTGGACAGAGTGTGGCCTTACCTGCGCTTTTTGTTTGAGATGGGGTCTCACTCTCTCACCCAGGCTGGTTGCAGTGGTGCAATCTTGGCTCACTGCAACCTCCGCCTCCCCGGCTCAAGTGATCCTACCACCTCAGCCTCCTGAGTAGCTGGAAACACAGGCACATGTCGTCACACCCGGGTAACTTTTTGTATTTTTGGTAGAGCCAGGGTTTCGCCATGTTGGCCAGGGTGGTCTCAAACTCCTGGGTGCAAGGATCTGCCTGCCTCGGCCTGGAATTACAAGGCCTTGGTGCTGAGATTACAAGCATGAGTCACTGCACCTGGCCTAGGTTTTAAACTTCTGGTCTCTAGAACTGTGGGAGAATAAATTTATGTTTTTCTAAGTCACCAAGTTTGTGGTGATTTCTTTTTTTATTTGAGATGGAGTCTTGCTCTGTCGCCCAGGCTGGAGTGCAGTGGCATGATCTCGGTTCACTGCAACCTCCGCCTCCCAGGTTCAAGCAATTCTCTGCCTCAGCCTCCCGAGTAGCTGGGATTACAGGAGCCCATCACCACGCCGGGCTAAATTTTTGTAATTTTAGTAGAGATGGGGTTTCACCATCTTGACCAGGCTGGCCTTGAACTCTTGACCTCATGATCCACATGCCTTGGCCTCCCAAAGTGCTGGGATTACAGGCATGAGCCACCACGCCCGGCCTGTAGTAATTTCTTATGGTAGCCCAGGAAATGAATACAACAGAAGACCATCATCTATATAGTGTTGAAAGAAAAACTTCGAAATCCAGCGAAAGTATCCTTCAAGAAGGATAACAAAATAAAAGACAGTTTCATATAAAAGAAAAACAAAAGAATTCATCGACAGCAGTAATGCCTTGCACAAAAATGCTACAGGAAGTTCTTCAGGATGAAAGGAAATGACATCAGATGGAAAATCGGATATTCAGGAAAGAATAGAGCATTGAAAATGGTTAACAACTGGGTAAATATAAAAGACTATTTAAAGCAAAAAGTATAACTTTGCCTTCTGAGTTATATAATGTATGTAGATATAATACGTATGACATCTATGGCATAAGAGATGGGAAAGGATAAATGGATACATATAGTTGCAGGGTGTCTATGTTTTAGGTGAAATGTTACAATGTTAATTCTTTTTTTTTTTTTTTTGAGATGGAGTCTCGCTCTGTTGCCCTGGTTGGAGTGCAGTGGCACGATCTCACCTCACAGCAATCTCCTTGAACTTCTTGGGTTCAAGTGATTCTCTTGGAAGTAGGCATTCAAAGAGATATTTGTACACCCATGTTCATTGCAGCATTATTCACGATAGCCAAAAGTGGCAAGCAACCTGAGTGTCCGTTGATGGATAACAAACAAAATGTGGCAGGTCAATCCAATGAAATATTGTTCAGTCTTTAAGAAGAAAGGAAATTCTGGCCAGGTGTAGTGCCTCACACCTGTAATCCCAGCACTTTGGGAGGCTGAGGTGGGTGGCTTGAGCCTGGGAGTTCAAGACCAGCCTGGGCAACATGGTGAAATCCCATCTCTACAAAAATTAGCTGGATGTGGTGGGGTGTGATGGTAGTCCCAGCTACTTGGGAGGCTAAACTGGGAGGATCGCTTGAGCCCAGGAGGTGGAGGTTGCAGTGAGCTGAGATTGCACCACTGCACTCCAGTCTGGGCAACAGAGTGAGACCCTGCCTCAAACATGCTACAACATGAATGGACGGTGAGGATATTATACTACATGACATAAGCCAGTCACAAAAGGACAAATGATGTATGATTCCACTTAATGAGATACCTAGAGTAGTCAAATTCATAGAGACAGAATGGTACTTGCCAAAAGTTGGGAGCGGGTAGGGGATGGAGAGGGAAACGGGGAGTTATTGTTTGATGGGCACCAAGTTTCTGTTTGGGAAAATGAAGAAACTGTTGGAGATGGGTGGTGGTGATGGCTGCACAACAATGTGAATATACTTAATGCCACTGAGCTGTACATTGAAAATGGTTAAAATGATAAATGTTATATGTATTTTATCACAATTTTAAAAAAGAAAAGAAGGGCGGGCGTGGTGGCTCACACCCGTAATCCCAGTACTTTTGGAGGCTGAGGCAGGGGGATCATCTGAGGCCAGGAGTTTGAGACCAGCCTGGCCAACATAGTGAAACTCCCATCTGTGTACTAAAAATACAAAAATTAGCCAGGTGTGGTGTGCACGCGTGTAGTTCTAGCTACTTGGGAGGCTGAGACAGGAGAACTGCCTGAACCCGGAAGGTGGAGGTTCCACTGAGCTGAAATCGCCCGACTGCACTCCAGCCTGGTTGACAAAGTGAGTTTCCATCTCAAAAAAGAAAAAAAAAAAAAGATGCAAGCACTCTCATTTAGAACCCTTGGAGGGTGTATGGCCCTTCCCACACCTTGATTTCAGACTTCTGGTCTCCAGATGGTACATTTCGGCTGTTGTTTTTTGAAATGGAGTCTCACTGTGTCACCCAGGCTTGAGTGCAGTGGTAAGATCTTGGCTCACTGCATCCTCTGCCTCCTGGGTTCAAGCGATTCTCCTGCCTCAGCCTCCCGAGTAGCTGGGATTACAGGCATGTGCCACCATGTCTAACTAATTTTTGGTTATTTTTAGTAGAGATGGGTTTTCATTATGTTGGCCAGGCTGGTCTCGAACTCCTGAGCTCAGGTACCTGCCCGCCTAGGCCTCCCAAAGTGCTGGGATTACAGACGTGAGCCATTGCACCCGGCCAATTTCTGTTGTTTTAAGCCACCAAGTTCTAGGTAATTTGTTGCAGTAGTGATGGGAAATCAATACAGACATGGAGACTGCCGAAGGGAAATGAGGCAGAAATAGAACAGAAGGTTCTCACAGAGAAGCCCAGGTGGATGAGATACATCGTTATGAAAGCTGAAGAGGGGCTATGAGTGAGGCTGGGACTGAGGTAAAGGTATGTTCCCTTAGTGGTACTAGCCCTCGTGAGCCTAGTACTCCCACGGCGGTTTTGTCTGTTTTTTTTTTTTTTTTTTTTTTTGAGACGGAGTCTCGCTCTGCCGCCCAGGTTGAAGTGCAGTGGCCGGATCTCAGCTCACTGCAAGCTCCGCCTCCCAGGTTCACGCCATTCTCCTGCCTCAGCCTCCCGAGTAGCTGGGACTACAAGCGCCTGCCATGTCGCCCGGCTAGTTTTTTGTATTTTTTAGTAGAGATGGGGGTTTCACCCTGTTAGCCAGGATGGTCTCGATCTCCTGACCTTGTGATCCGCCCGTCTCGGCTTCCCAAAGTGCTGGGATTACAGGCTTGAGCCACTGCGCCCGGCCGGTTTTGTCTGTTTTTTAAGAGACAGGGTCTCACTCTGTTGCCCAGGCTGGAATTGTGCAATCATTACTCATTCATAACTCACTGCAGCCTCAAACTCTTGGGCTCAAGCGATCCTCCCACTTCACTCTCCCAAGTAGCTAGGACTATAGGCACACGCCCAGCTAATTTTAAAATTTTTTTGTAGGGAGCAGGTCTCATCATATTGCCTAGGCTGGTCTCAAACTTCTGGGTTCCCACCTCGGCCTCCAAAAGTACTATGATTGTAGGTGTCAGTCATTGCACCTGGCTCCCATGATGGTTGTAATGGTGAATGGCCAATTACAGCAGTCCCACCTGGATAAGGGCATGAGGACCCTAAGCCTCACATCCCTCAAGATGAAGGTGTGGGACATCCTATAAGACAAGCCATCAAGAATAGCGGAAGTGTTAAGTCAAGGGTGTGAGGAACCTAGAACACTCAGAGAGGAAGATGATGAATATGATTATGTATAGCCTGAGATCACTGCAGCAGCCAGGGCTGAAGCTCATCCCTCTATCCTCCTCCTCTAAGTTTTGTGCTAGAAATTGTGACGGAATGAAGTTAATGTAAGATGTGACGAGACCTGATGTGAGGAAATCTGAGCAGTGCATGGCATGATCTGTAACAGACACTGTTAATGTTCCACCCAGATCCCTGTTTATAAATTCCTCCTTCCTGGCTTTCAGGGGCTCTTCTTTTTTTTTTTTTTTGAGATGGAGTCTTGCTCTGTCGCCCAGGCTGGAGTACAGTGGTGTGATCTCGGCTCACCGTAAGCTCTGCCTCTCAGGTTAACGCCATTCTCCTGCCTCAGCCTCCAGAGTAGCTGGGACTACAGGTGCCCACCACCAAACTCGGCTGATTTTTTTGGGTATTTTTAGAAGAGACGGGATTTCACCATGTTAGCTAGGATGGTCTCAATCCCCTGACCTCATGATCCACCCGCCTCGGCCTCCCAAAGTGTTGGGATTACAGGCCTGAGCCACCGCACCTGGCCTCAGGTGCTCTCCTTTCTAATGTCCCATACCAACTACAGTCAGCCCTCTGCATCCTCAGGATCTGCCTCTACCCACACATAAAAAATACTGCCAACAGCAACAATACAACAATAAAAAATACAAATTAAAAAATACACCTCCTGGCCCGGTGCGGTGGCTCATGCCTGTAATTCTAGCACTTTGGGAGGCTGAGGTGGGTGGATCACCTGAGGTGGGGAATTCGAAACCAGCCTGACCAACACGGAGAAACCCTGTCTCTACTAAAAATACAAAAAATTAGCTGGCATGGTGGCGCATGCCTGTAATCTCAGCTACTTGGGAGGCTGAAGTAGGAGAATCGCTTGAACCTGGGAGGTGAAGGTTGTGACGAGTGGAGATCGTGCCATTGCACTCTAGCCTGGGCGACAAGAGTGAAACTCTGTCTCAAAAAACAAAACAAAACACAAAACAAAACAAAACAAACACCTCCTTTCTCCAGCTGTGGCCAAGGTGCTCAGTCCTTCTGAGGAAGCTAGGCTGTGTTGGGGTGAGGCCCTCACTTCATCCGGTGACCAGCAATGTGCCAGCAGGGCCCACCCCACACTTGTGGCATTATGGCTTCTGTCTCCAAGCTCAGCTGCATCATCTACCTGGACCTCATGCTGCACAATGATGATGAGGTGACCGTCACAGAGAATAAGACCAAGGCGCTCAGGAAAGCAGCTGGTGTAAACGTGGAACATTTTTGGCCTGGCTTGTTGGCAAAGGCCCAGGCCAATGTCAACATCGGGAGCCTCATCTGCAATGCAGGGGCTGGAGGATCTGCGCTAGGAGGTGGTACTGCAGTTGTAGGAAGTCCTGCCCCCTCCACCACTGCTGAGAACTAAAGAAAAGAGCATCTGAGGAGTCTGATGAGGACATGGGCTTTGGTCTTTTTGATGAAATCTCTTTTGTAATATGAACCTAAAAGTATCTAAGACAGCTCTCAATCAATTTTACATAGCATTTACATTGTACTAGGTGTCACAGCATAGGTAATCTGCAGATGATTTAAAGTGTATGGGGGATGTGCATAGGTTATATGTAAATACTATGCCCTTTTATATAAGGGACTTGAGCATCTGAGGGTTTTAGTATCTGTGGGGATCCTGGAACCATTCCGCAGATACCAAGGGAAAATTTTACTCTTTTTTTTTTTTTTTTTGAGACGGAGTCTTGCTCTGTCACTCAGGTTGGAGTGCAGTGGCATAATCTCGGCTCACTGCAACCTCCGCTTCCCAGGTTTAAGTGATTCTCCTGCCTCGGCCTCCTGAGTAGCTGAGATTACAGGCACCTGCCACCATGCCTGGCTAATTTTTGTATTATTATTATTATTAATTAATTAATTAATTAATTTATTTATTTTTTTGTTTTTTTGTTTTTTTGAGACGGAGTCTCGCTCTCGCCCAGGCTGGAGTGCAAGTGGCGCGATCTCCTCCGCTCACTGCAAGCTCCGCCTCCCGGGTTCCCGCCATTCTCCTGCCTCAGCCTCCCGAGTAGCTGGGGCTACAGGCGCCCGCCACCATGCTCGGCTAGTTTTTTGTATTTTTAGTAGAGACGGGGTTTCACCGAGTTAGCCAGGATGGTCTCGATCTCCTGACCTTGTGATCCACCCGCCTCAGCCTCCCAAAGTGCTGGGATTACAGGCATGAGCCACCGCGCCCGGCCTATTATTATTATTTTTGAGACAGAGTCTCGTTCTGTCGCCCAGGTTGGAGTGCAGTGGCGCGATCTCGGCTCACTGCAAGCTCCGCCTCCCAGGTTCATGCCATTCTCCTGCCTCAGGCTCCCGGTAGCTGGGACTAAGGCACCCGCCACCACACTCAGCTAATTTTTTGTATTTTTTTTTGTAGAGACGGGGTTTCATCGTGTTGACCAGGATGGTCTTGATTTCCTGACCTCATGATCCGCCTGCCTCAGCTTCCCAAAGTGTTGGAATTACAGGCGTTAGCCACCATGTCCAGCCTAATTTTTGTATTTTTAGTAGAGACGGGTTTCCCCATGTTGGCTGGTCTTGAACTCCTAACCCCAGGTGATCTGCCTCCCTCGGCCTCCCAAAGTGCTGGGATTACAGGTGTGAGCCACCGTGCCCAGCCCGGAAAGACTTTACTCTCCATTTGGAGGTGGCCTGAAGGCACAGAGGGCCAGAACTGCCTGGGAATTGACTGACCAATCTTGATTCAGGCCAAACTTCCATTCTGGAGCACCCACGCAGGATCAGGCTCAAGCTCCCCTTTGTGGAATTCTGCCCGAGACTGCAATTCTTCTTAGCTTTTTCCCCTTTCCTTTCTGGCTTCCCCCCTCACCCTGTGGGTTTCTCCTGGGAGCACTGAAGCCCTTGTACAATATCCTCATCTCACAGTCTGCTTCTGGGGAACCCAACCTCAGGCAGGGAAGAAAATGTCTTGACTTGACCAGTTATAATCTGGCATCTTTATCTTTTAGTTGTTTCACGTCAAATGCCGGTATCTTCTCTTATAGAACACTTTTGGGGGTTGCTATTGTTCCTGGAGAGAAAAGACACCTCCTCTGGATAGCTGACTGAAGCCTCTTCCCCTTGTACACCTCGGGGAACACTTGTTTGGATCACCTTGCCCCTCCATGTGATCCTCTTGGTCAGTCACTATTTTAAGACGGTCTTGTTGTGGAATCCATAACTGGTCTACACAAAACATGCATCTTTGTCCCTCAGAAACTTGGAAGTCCAGGCCTTCCCAGGATACGTCCTTTTCCTCTCATGTCACACAATGTTCTCACTCAGCCTTTGGCCCACAGACTTGTCAGAGGTGTTCGAACCAGAATGACTCCATCTTGAATAGGGGATGGCTAAAATAAAGATGAGACCTGCTGTGTTGCATTCCTAGGAGGTGAGGCATTCTTAGTCACAGGATGAGACAGGAGGTCAGCAGGGCAAGATACAGGTCATGAAGACCCTGCTGATACATAGGATGCAATGATGAAGCTGGCCAAGACCTGCCAAATCCAACATGGTGACGAAAGCAACCTCCAGTCATCCTCACTGCTCATTATACACAAATTATTATGCATTAGCATGCTGAAAGACACTCCTACCAGTACCATGACAGTTTACAAATGCCATGGTAACATCCAGAAATTACCCTATATGGTCTAAAAGTGGGAGGGGCTGGGCATGGTGGCTCACACCTGTAATCCCAACACTTTGGGAGGCTGAGGCAGGCAGATCACCTGAGGTTGGGAGTTGAGACCAGCCTGACCAACATGGAGAAACCCTGTCTCTACTAAAAATACAAAATCAGCCAGGCGTGGTGGTACACGCCTGTAATCCCAGCTACTCTGGAGGCTGAGGCAGGAGAATCGCTTGAACCCAGGAGGCACAGGCTGTGGTGAGCCGAGATCATGCCATTGCACTCCAGCCTGGGCAACAAGAGCGAAACTCCGTCTTGAAAAAAAAAAGTAGGAGGAACCCTCGATTCCAGGGAATCCCTGTCCCTTTCCTGAATAATCCACTCCTTATTTAACATATAATCAAAAATTAACTATAATATGAGGTACTTAGTCAAGCACCTCATACTCTGTATGAGGTACTTAGTCAAGCACCTCATACTCTGCTCTGTCTATGGAACAGTCATTCTTCTGTTTCTTTACTCCTCTAATAAGCTTGCTTTCATTTTAAGAACTTGCCCAAATCCTTTCTTGCACAAGATCCAAGAACCCTCTCTTGGGGTCTGGACTGGGCCCCTTTTGTGTAACAGACTTACTTTTTCAGACATGAATGAAGAACCAGTCCCTATGTTCCCCAAACTCTAGGGGACATACATCAGTATCTCAGAGTGGTTCTCTGGAGGCCCCTTGAAGCACATATGGGCAGCACTGGGAAGAATTCTCTAAATCCTCTCCCATCTCTGCAATCAGTCTCCAAGCCTCTCCTGTGCACTCTCAAAGTGGGTGATGAGCTGATTAGCTGGCAGAACTGGTGTTTTCACATCCTTCTTTGGAAGGTTGTTGGTCTTCCAACTTGATCTAAGGCTTTGCATTAAAATGGTTCTATTGTTTTCGGCTTTGGTGCCACAGCTGACACTCAGGATTGAAAGAGTCTCATTTTAACATTCTGCTACATAGACAAGACTCCTTGTACATGTACTTTGCTCCAAGTTCGGTCATTCTGAGCCCCTACTGGTTACAAAGCTCTTGGAGTACAGAGAGAAAAAAAGGCAGAAGGCAGGCAAATGACTCCCATTCAGATGGGGGAAAAGCAGAATAAGGCCATCAGCACAAAGCCATACCTGAATATACAAACAAAATCCATTGGGATTAATATCTGAAACCTTAGTCACATAAATTCCGTGTTTTAGGAGCTAGAATCTAGTTCGTCAAGAAATCTCCAGCCGGGCGCGGTGGCTCAAGCCTGTAATCGCAGCACTTTGGGAGGCCAAGACGGGCGGATCACGAGGTCAGGAGATCGAGACCATCCTGGCTAACACAGTGAAACCCCGTCTCTACTAAAAAATACAAAAAAACTAGCCGGACAAGGTGGCAGGTACCTGTAGTCCCAGCTACTCGGGAGGCTGAGGCAGGAGAATGGCATAAACCCGGGAGGCGGAGCTTGCAGTGAGCTGAGATCCGGCCACTGTACTCCAGCCTGGGCAACAGAGCAAGACTCCGTCTCAAAAAAAAAAAAAAAAAAAATCTCCAGACCACGTCCTCCTTTTGCCGACTTTCCACTACCTTGTTTCTTCAGAATAGGATATTTAGAAATACTTACGATATTCCTTAGGATAAATTTATCAGTACAGTTATGTGTCACTTAATGACAGGAATACATTCTGAGATGCACATCATTTGGGAATTTCATCATTGTATGAACATCATAGAGTGCACTTACACAAACCTCGATGGTATTGCCTACTACATAACTAGATGACGTGGTACAGCAAGCTTGTCCAACCTGTGGCCTGCAGGCTGCATGTGGCCCAGGACAGCTTTGAAAGCTGCCCAACACAAATTCATAAACTTAAAAAACAGTATGAGATTTCCTGGTGATTTTCTTTTCTTTTTTCTTTCTTTCTTTCTTTTTTTTTTAAGCTCATTAGCTATTGTTAGTGTTAGTGTATTTCATGTGTGGCCCAGGGAAGCCAAAAGATAAGAAACCTCTGTGGTACAGCCTATAGTTGCTAGGCTACAAACCTGTACAGCATGTTACTGTCCTGAATAGTGTAGGTAATTGTAACACAATGGTAAGAATTTGTATATCTAAACATAGAGAAGGTACAGTAAAAATACCGTATGAAAGATAAAAAATGGTACACCAGCATAGCTCACTTACCATGAATGAAGCTTGCAGAACTGGAAGTTGCTCTGGGTGAGTCAAGAGTGAGGGGTGACTGAATATGGAGGCCTGGTAGTATACATTACTGTACACTATAAGACATTACTGTAAACTACTATAATTATAACGATTTGATTAGTCAAGGTGGACTTTTTTTGTGTGGAGAGGGAAGGTATATAGAACATCTTACACTGAAGATCTAACAGTCATGGGGTCATTTGTGCCATCTGAAGTAAGTTAGATATAGGACCATAAAAGAGACAATTAATCTATAATAAATATCAATAGTTAAAAGAAAAATCTGGTGTCTAGTCTCTCTCAGTCATTCACAAAACAAGAATAAAGTCAATTTATAATCTAAAAATCAAAAATTGCAACTATATATTACATGACTCAGGTCATTGGCAAATGTCTTTCAAGACTTATTTATTTATTTTTTTTTGTGAGACAGAGTCTTGCTCTGTCTCCCAGACTGGAGTGTAGTAGTGCGATTTTGGCTCACTGCAACCCTCTGCCTCCTGGATTTCAGCAATTTTCCTGCTTCAGCCTCCCAAGTAGCTGGGACTACAGGCGTGTGCCACCATGCCCAGGTAATTTTTGTATTTTTAGTAGATACAGGGTTTCAACATGTTGGCCAAGCTGGTCT